TAAATATCTGAGAATTTGAAAATTTGAAAGTTGGAAGATGTGACATTCCGAAATTTCCTAAATTAAAAAATTCAAAACTCCGCGCAAACGAACATTCGCATCGAGAAATTTAATCCTACAATTATGGATTAATTTTCACTCCGCTGTAACACCATTTACGATGCGCTAGAATAATATTTGCAGTCCTGAACTTTTGTCACACGCTCATTTCCCTCCACAACTCGTTACAACTGAACAATCCACGTAACACAGTCGCCAGTAACACTAACGATTTGACGTAGTAATCTTAAAACGTCGAAAATGATTAATTCGCAATTCCGCGGTTTGACCGCGGACGCTCTCGATTCCGACAACTATCAAACCGCAATTATCAAGTGGCTTTTGAAAAACGTCGAAATCCATTTGCACGTCGCGAGCATTTAAAGGCAGTTGCAATCACATTTTCGGTTAATTGATATTCGACATTGATCGAACCTCTCTCTCTCTCTCTCTCTCTCGGTTATTTTCGTTTCGTAAACGAATCCAGGGCACGCAGCAGCCTTCTCCGAAAACCACGAGCGGGGGGAGAAAATCTCGTGTTTCGATTATTCACGCTCAAGTGAGGGAAAAAAACAGAGAAAGAGGGACACAGACGCCGATCAACTGTACGAAAACTCGATAAATAAACCTCTTCGCTCGTTAAATAACGAAAAACATCCGTCGAGAAATATCAATATTTGCGCCACGGTTTCAAAACGATTCAGTTTTATTCCCTTTCATTGATCATGGCCCCCCGCCGCTAAAGCAAACCGAACCGTTTCCTTCCTATTTTTCCGGCTTTTACAACTTTTCTTTCTCGGTATTTTCTCTTTCTTTATTTTATAGGCGCTCCATTCGAAGAGTGTACAGTGACTAAAGGGGGGAGTAAACAAGGGTAAACAATGAACTATTAACAAGTTTTGTGCAGAGCAGGGGAGGAAAGCGCACTTGGCACACGCAACGAAAGCGCAGTCCTGTGTTTTAATGGAGATAAACGATCGGGGTCAGTGGTATTGTTCAAGGAAATTGAAAGACGTTGCACGAGCACGAGAGGCATTGGAACGTCCGGGAAAAACGGTGAACAAGATGTACGATTAGGTGTTTGTAAAGTGTTACAAGGGAGAATCGTAACGTTTGCCGAGAAACCGGGTAACGTTCGTTTGTCAAAAATCTTCGAGAGAAGTTCGCGTGTGTTTTGCTACTTACGGTTTCGAGAAGTTCGAGCATGAATGTAAACTTCGGAATTTTTAGAAGAATTGCCGTTTCCGCGGAATCTGCGTTTATTCGAGTTCACGCCAATTTGTAAAATGTTCCAGCAGGAAAATATGTTACACAGTGCTCCCTCGAACAACCAAGAACCACCCTCCGCATTCACGAGAAACTGAAGTAGATTTATATTCTTCCAATGCATGTGCGTATACTTATACGTGCACCTCAATATTTTCAATTCCCACATATCGTGGTTGAAGTAATAACAAACGAAGTATGCCATGTTCAAAGGCCTACTGAGCAAAAACGTTTCCCCAGAAAAGGACAGAATATGAATAACTCTCGGGGGAAAAACTGTAAACAACTGATTTGTTGTTGTTTCATAACTACAGAACCGTAACTATAACACCTTATTGCAGCAAAAACAAGCTTAGGACAGAATAAAGCGAAATTATATCAATAATTAATCTAATGGTAACGTGTAGGCCCTCCTCTACTTCCAATCAACTCAATTATTCGATCGTGTACGTATATATACATACATATTGCGTAATTACAATATTACAGGCACACATTGGTCGTTTGATTCCTCTCCCAAGTTCGGCTGTTCGTTGTGCACTTGAACTCGATGCCACTGCTTCTTGCATGCAGCGGCAATTTGTGAGGAATTAGTTCACACGCACGAATTATAAAGCTATGCTAATTATGTACACTGATTCGAAATACGCGTATAATCGAGACAAGCACTGAATTTCCTGCAAGACTATGTCGCGATGTATGAGCGTCGTTCCGTCGAGGCACTCGTTCGGCAGCCTGGTAAACACCGACTGAGGACGAGCCGTCCTGCCCGATTTCTGCTCGCAACAGTCCTGGGAAAAGTCCTAGGCCTTAACTTCTTAGAACTCGTGACATTTCTTGCGAGCCAAACATAAGAAACGCGAGCCTAGGTCGCTGTACGTACATCCGAGCCAAACATAAACCTAGCTGTCCTTATCAGAGTAAAACTATCGCGAGTTGCTCTCGAGAGTATCTCTCGCGAGTGGAGACTGAGAGTGACTCTCTGAGAGCGTCGCTCAACTGTCCGAGAGTTGATGTATTGCGACTTGTTTACGAATGGATAAAAAATCATACTGCTCTTGGAGAGTTGCTTTGCAAACAGGAAGCAGTTTCGTATATCTGCGAGAACTCTCGTGCGAGTAAGAAATGTCAGTAAAGAAGCGATATCATGAAATACAAGAGAATTTTAAGAGAATAAAGTAGAGTATAAGAATTTTTCGTTTGGACTTTCTTCAACGTAACTTTTTGCAATTTTCAAAACTGACAGAGATACTGGAACGGACAAAATTCTTGAATCTTAAAAAGCCTTACCCGCAAACTAAATCTTCAGAACATTCAAACTTCTCGACAAATCCATCAGGAACGTTTCCTGGAACTCCCAAATCCCCTAGCCAAGGATTTAGGTCTCCCAAGTCCCAAGACTTCTCAAGTGAACGTAGAAACCTATGAAGAAGCTTCGAGAACCTGTCGAAATTCATTGGAAACAGCGCCTACGCAAGACACGAACCTAAACAACCAACTTACAAACCTTATCAAATCCTCCATTAAAAAATCGCAACTCTTCATTTCTCAAGAAATTACAGAAAAACTTGAACATGTCTAGAAACATCTCTAAAAAAAAAAAACAGACATCCATAATTAAACGAAAAGCAACATACAAATTTTTCTCACTGCAGAATCGAAGAAACACAAACCCCAGATCTTCCTCCTCCGCAAAATGAACTGCAGCAAAAAAACGCTTCAATCCACAATTAAAAAATTGCAATTCTCCATTTCTCTGAAATTTCCTTGAAATAAAAACTCTTAGAATTAGAAAAAAAAAAGTAGCCATCGGTAATTAAATTAAAAAGCCAACTTATAAATTCCCCGCGAAATTTCTTGTCGATCCCTCTTCGAAAAAATTCCAAACAAGCCTACTTAAACCGCAGCGGAACCACTTTCGCGTCGTCAACTGTACGAAAAATCGGCTCACCTGGAAAGCCTTTCTTGTATCCAGGCGGCAGAAACGCGGCTGGCGGCGTGATCGGTGGCGCCGCGTCCCAGCAGGGCACCACATCCGGTTGCATCGCATACCCAGGCGGAAGTTCCAGCACCTTCTGCTGCTTTTCGCAGCGTCTACGCCGGCGGCCGCCCGGCGCGAACGTTTTCACGGCCGCCAGGAAACCCACGCCGCTCATCTCCTCCTTTTGGGATTTCGTGTTTGCGCGTTCGCCTCGTCGCGCACCTCCGATCCTACGTCCGCTCGACTTCTCGACGTTCCTCTACCCTCTCTCGATACGTATACCGAACTAGCAATGGACAAACAGAAGAGAATCCTCGCCGCGAAACGTTTCCCTGGATCAGGATTGATATTTTTTTTTTTGCGCGCGATCAAACGATTCGCAATCAAGAAGAAGCGAGATCGCGGTCGCGCGCGCGCGCGCGATGATGAATTTTCTTTGGTTTTTCGTTAGGAGTGTCGCTTGGTCTTGTTCACGATTTCACTGCCGGGTTTTATGATGTTCGATGATGTCTGTGCGGTTCATGGCGGGTGAAGGCGCGTGCCGACTGTTGGGAACGATCACGAAAACCGTGTTACGAACGAGAGCACTATGGTCGTGACAGTGAGATACTGGCCACCTTTGCTCTCGAGTTTCGCTCTCCGGTTGGCTACACCGGTGAACTTGAGCACTCGAGTACGATCGATTTTCGCTTCGTACGTTTTTTAATCCGGATAGTTTGTTAAGAAGGTAAGTTTTGCCGGCAATTCGAGTGCAAAGGATTGGAAAGACGAATGGCATCGATCGAGACGAAATATTGTGGTGAAATGATCTTCGTGAAGACAATTAATCATGTCAACATATCGGATGGTTGATTGTCTTTGAAGTATTCAATGCTGGAATGCGATAATTTAGGCGGAATCCTGTTCTGTAAAGAGTAAGGCTACATGTTTCTTGATAAGAATGTACACAAATTGTAATTTATCCATGTGTCGTCGAATATAATAGTTGTTAAAATTCTTCAAGTTTTTCCAGCGTTGAATATGCCAACCCATTCGCAAGAAAAAACATCGAGAATGAATTTCTTGATAACGATGGAACCGAATCACGTCGACGAAGGTAAAAGTGAACGAATTTTCTAAGAACATTTATCGATACCCTTTCATCTTCAATTCGTCTATACAAATCTTCAAGCTTCTCGAGAAAATTTTCACAGAGATAACGTCAACGAAACACTGCAATTTTCTGTAATAACTTTAAATATCTTCAAATTAAGCCGACGATGTCTCGGATTCACGAATCACGGACAGCATCATAAACTAATAAAAATAAATGTCGCAGTTCCACCCACGCTTTCAACAAAGCTTCCTCAATTTAATTAATGTTTTCTCAGGCACAAAGTAAATTACCTTGTCACTATGAAAAAACGGGACCAGCTAAAGCGTAAACCGTATGTAAATACTGAACTATTAAACACGCAGTCGACAATGAAAACTCTCCCAAAAAAGGAACCAAAGACCAAATAAAAATTCCTTTACCTCGACGAACAGAGAGGACTTCGTAGAGAGAGAGAGAGAAAGCGGTTCACTTTTACCTTCGTTCAACCTTTCTCAACGCAGCTCAAAAGCGACGACTTGCGAACAGGTTAACGATCCACCGTTTCTTCAAACGATATTTCGTCACAGCTACTGGGTGTCCCTCGTGTCACAACGGCAAATATGTTCGGCTACGTGTGTTCATTCATTCCAGTTTTAACGATCGAATTTTACGATTTCAACACCAGTTGCGCGTCCGGGCGAAAACTTTTTAATTAGCCGTTGTTGTTAATACGCCGCGCTTCGACGTTCCCCTGGGATCGTTTCAGCCTGATAAAAGATTCCTCGATAAACGGGGGTGTATGCACGTGCGCGTCGATCAGACGAGACAAAATCGAGAAGTCCTCGGGGGAACACGATATCGCGTAATCCTCTTTCGCGCTCTCGTTGAGAAGCTACTTGGTAAAGTATCCTTCTTCGAAAGTGGAATCAAGTTGAACTGTTAGTTATTAGAGTGGTACGAGACGGTACGTAGTTTTTCTTCTTTTTTTGTTTCCGTTTCTTTCAGACTTGACAAAAGTGAGTTTAAAGGTGGAAAGGTTGAAAGGAATTGTTTGCTTTCGTTTCGAAGTGACTGCTGGTGAACGGACGTTTTTGTTCCAGAGTGAAATTAAGGACCGGTAATTTGTTCCACGGTGAAGAATAATTCGGGGAAAAAGAAGTTAGATTTTTTCGATGTAGTTGGACGTGTTTGAGATTTGGAGGTTTCTGCTGACACTGAAATCCGAAATTCCAGATTTTTGAATTTGCTGACATTGAAATGCAAAATTACACGAAGCCGTGTGAACAAATGGAGAACGTTTCGTACGATTCTAACGTTTCACTTTCGTTGCAGCTTTCGTCGAATGGCCAGTCGGAAATTTTGATACTTCATTAATTTTTAAAATTTTTCTTCAGCACTTGAACGCAAGGAAATGACTTTTCTATCTCGATGCCTTTTCCTGCCAATTTTTATGCAAACGTATATTCTACAGAGTCCGTAAATATTTCCAGACATTTAAAACAAATAAAATGAAAAATGAATATTCCGAATGTCCTTTGTATTTGCATCAACGTGCATTACCATATGCATCCCTGACAAAAATATGATATTGCAGAAAAAGTTGAACAAAGGATGTCAATATTTTTCGTTGAATAAACAAGTATCGAAGGTACACATCGTGTGTACCATAGAAAATATTTTTCCACAAAAAGGAAAAAAGAAAAAAAAAACAGAAACAAAGGGATATACACAGCTGACCGAGTAATTCCGTGTAACAATCTTTCGAGCACAATACAACGATTGAAACCATAAATTAAATAAACTTCGAAACCACGACTTTTGCACAGTGCGTATCTTAATAAAACTAGACCAACGATGCGTTCAAATCCATACAGATACCGACCGAATAACTGTACAAGACTTGAATTCAAAATTCACCCTAACAAATTCAAACATATTCCTTCCCGATCACGTACAATTACAAAGGCATTACGACGGGATCCCAGAAGAATTCATACGCGGGCAAACAACAACTTGCCATTGAAAAGCAAAGAGAAAGAAACAAATTCCAAAAGCAACAAACTATTCATTTCAACTCGAAGAAGCATTCCGCGGATTGTACGAAGAACGTATCTCCTTGAATCAACCCCGAGCGCACCATAAACGTCTTCTTAAAACGCGAAACCAAATAAAAGGAGACGAGGAAGAAAAAACAAACTAAAAAAAAAGAAAAGAACCTCTTTACGGCGAAACGAACACGCGACACCCAATCGCCGCTGGCACCATGCACCTGCACGATATTTCGCTGTCACCGAGTGACCTTGACAGATCTCGCAGAGTTCGGAGGAGGCCGACCGGTGGCGGAAGTGCGAATCGATCACCAGTTGCGCGCGTGCACGACGGAAGCGACTAAAATCTACAATCAACTGAAG